AATATATATATACATATATATATATATATATATATATATATAAATATATATATATATATATTATATATATTATATATATATATATATATATATATATATATATATATATATATATATATATATATATATATATATATATATATATATATATATATATAATATATATATATATATATATATATATATATATATATATATATATATATATATATATATATATATATATATATATATATATATATATATATATATATATATATATATATATATATATATATATATATATATATATATATATATATATATACATATATATTTGTTGACATTTGCGAAAAATTAAAGAACCTCGTCAATAAAATTTCCTTGCGCACCAATTATAGCTTATTTTAAAAGGTATGCTCCATTTTGTCTTACTTATCCTCTAAACAAATTTTTTCTGGATGATGCAAAATATATTTTGTGTTTTTTATCTAAAACGCGCACAACTACGAAATGGTTTTAGTAAATATTTCGTCGCTATTAAACATAGACACTTATAAGAATTTTTTTACTAAGTACTTTCTTATAAGTTATTCAAAATCCTTATAGTTTTTACTAATAACAAGTTATATAAACGTTAAAACCTTTTGCTAAAATAAAGAATTAGTTTAAAATAAACATAATCTAAAGTCGGGCCGCGCCGGTTTTAAGTTTTTAGGGCCGCACCGGGACGGCTTTTAAGTATAATCATATATATGGTTTCAATAAACTCTTATATAAAAATAAAAAATTATGGTTGGCCCAACAGCAAATCGAATGCAATTGGCCCAACAGCAAATCGAATGCAATTGCACCAACTAACGTAAAACATGGTTGGTCCAACAGCAAATATCACGTAGTTGCGCTAACTAACGCAAAACAACGATGGCCCGACAGCAAATTTAACTTAGTTGGGCCAACTATCACAAAACAACGTTGGCCCAACAGCAAATTTAACTTAATTACGCCAACTAACGCAAAACAAGGTTGGTCCGACAGCAAATCTAACGTAGTTGCGCCAACTAACACAAAACAACAATGGCTCAACGATACAGGCTGCTCAGGTAAATAGTCAAACAGTTCTCTTTTTTTCAAAAAAACTCAATGTTTACAACAAAAAATATTCGTTTTGTCAATTTTGTTCTAGTTTATTTAGTTATTTTTTTGTTTTTATTTTTAGTCAAGTTTATTTACACCAGAAAAATTTTTTTCCATAATATTTTACCACAAATAAGTCATTAATGCCCTTATGCTTTCTTTTTGCAAATGTACTTAAACTATAATGTATGTACTTAAACTATATGTTTTTACATTTATGTTTCTGTTTAAAGTTTATTCCAAACAGAAACCTAAATGTAAAAAAAATTCAAATTTTTTTTTTTTTTTTACATTTAGGTTTTTTGTTTGGAAGAGACAATTGGAGATGATGACTATACAGGAGTATACACAATGCCAAAAACTCCAGTTAACCAGCTTTTCTTAAAACCTTGTGTATACAATACAAGTGTTTCGCTAACAAGACAATGTGTTTGGAATCTTGACTTTGCTATACCTGAGTGGCAACCTGACACTCTGTTATTTTTAAATTTTTGTCCTTTAAAGCCTAATACAACGTGGCAATCACAGCAAATTTTTGTTTTGGAAAATGTTGGTTTTACTATTTTATTTTATTTTTTAGTTATTAGGTTGTTTTTTTAACAATGATTGTTTTTAAGAGTTAGATTTTTTGTTGTACAATGTAAAACCGTATTTAGGTATAAGTAAAATAAAAGATATTTTTTAAAATAATGTGTTTTAAATAAATCTTTTAAATTTATTTGTATTGTTTTTGTAGTATCTTATTACTATTGTTATTGTTATTATTATTATTATTATTGTTATTATTGCTATTATTACTATTATTATTATTATTATTGTTATTATTATTATTATTATTATTATTATTATTAAACGTTTTCTTTTAACATAATTGTCATATGTCATTGTTGGTTATTATTCAGTTTTAAGTGTTTCTTAAAACCAGCTGAAAAGGTAAATGATGTAGAAATCCTATAATGGTCTTTAAAAAAACAATAGAAGAAATCTATCCAACATAAATTAAGTTTATTCTTAATAGAATATCTTCTACATGGAAGTGTTTTTCACCATCCTTTGTAATCTCTACGTCAGTAAATATGTTAAATAAGGTAATAAATAATAAGTAGCTGATACAGAATATACTGATTACACACTTTTGTTTATAACAATTCCACGCTGTTTTAAAAATTCATTTTTATTTGCAACATGAGTTATACAAAAACAAAAATTAAATAAATTCTAAAGGAAATAAATGTAATAAACACGTTTTATTTTAAAGATAATAATAATAAAAGCATAATAATAAAAAAAAACCCGGCAAAAAATAGAAATTACGTCGCTATTAATTTATACAAAAGCGGTAGCAGAAACGTTTTATTTATATATTAATTAAAAAAAGAAGTGGTTAAAAGGAACGAGTTGTTTAAATTCAAAACAAAGTAATAAAAATTTAAAAAATAAATAAAAAAAGACATAGTTCAAGTTAACATTCAGCATATTAAGTCATCAGACGGCATTATTCTTGGAAAATTATGAGGATGACAAAGAATTACCAATCCATAAACTCGACAACATAATACACCATTATGAAACACAATCTGTATGTCCTTTACAACCATAATTGCTGTTAAGGACTTACAAATTTAAGCTCACAATTTTTTATTCAAATGTCTTCAAGTTTTAATGTTTGGGATCGCTTTAAGTTTTACAAAAAACAAAAGGATTGGACTGTTTATATTTGGTAACGTCATTTCCTAAGACAAAGTACAAGTTATAAAACTTGAAGCACTTAAGTTAGCTGGTCATAAAACTCATTTTTTATTCTCTGTTGTGCTGCACCTTCTGTTTAATAATGTCCAGCATTTATGATTAAGGATGTGATCACTGCTAACAATAATGCTGCTTTATACCTTCTAAAAGAAGATAAGACTAAGTCTGCAAATTATTTTAAAGTTGTTCAGAACGTTGTCTAATTTTTCTTTATTTAGAAAATTTGATAGTATGTCGAGAACTTGAATTACATTTATTCAAAATTTGTTGTATAATCGGAAAAACTGCAACTGAAGCAAAAAAACTGTAGCCAATTCATTTTAAATTTTTTTATTTTGTATCAAATTATAACATGATGTCTTTATGCTAACTTAACTCTTGCATATATATATATATATATATATATATATATATATATATATATATATATATATATATATATATATATATATATATATATATATATATATATATATATATATATATATAGATATAAAGCAAAAAAACTGTAGCCAATTCATTTTAAATTTTTTTGTTTTATATCAAATTATAACATGATGTCTTTATGCTAACCTAACTCTTGCATATATATATATATATATATATATATATATATATATATATATATATATATATATATATATATATATATATATATATATATACATACATATATATATATATATATATATATATATATATATATATATATATATATTTATATATATATATATATATATATATATGTATATATATATATATATATATATATATATAAATATATATATATATATATATATATATATATATTTATATATATATATATATATATATATATATATATATATATATATATATATATGTATATATATATATATATATATATATATATATATATATATATATATATATATATATCTATATATATATATATATATATATATATATTTATATATATATATATATATATATATATATATATATATATATATATATATATTCATTTTCTTAAGGTAACTGTTACGAAGGAAAACATTGTGAACATTACAGATGGTTTGAATAATATTATACTAAATCAAAGTCTTACACAAGTATCTGAGATTTTGAGGATTTCAAATATTCTCAAGAATGTTATCAATATTAATTCTTCATCAGATCAGGTGCATATTTTAATAGACTTTATCAAAAAATTTCACAAAAGCTTCATAAGGTAATATGCAAGCTATTAGTTTTAGAGTTCTGCAAGTCTACTTTTTAAGTTTTTTACTTATTTGACCGAATAAAACATTTTTTAAACTGCAAACTAATAACAAAAAAGCAAAAAAAAAAAAAAAAAAAAAATAGTTTGTGTATGGTTGTGTATGATAAACTTCATTGTTAAACTAGCCGCTTAACTGTTATTTGTTTCTGTTTTGGGTTTACGATCTATTTATTTCTGTTTTGTGTTTACTATCTATGTTTATAATGCCGTGGCGCAGTGGTTAGAGCGCTTGGTTTATAAGCAGGAGATCCAGGTACGAAACGAGAGTTGGACATATTTTGAGTTACGGTAAGAAAGGAGACTTTAACTCACTGATTAAATACACTTCCGCGATGCTCTATGACAAGACCGTAAGGAGTTCTTGGAACACCTAAATAAAAAATTAAAAAAAAAAAAAAAGTAAATTATTAATTTAAGGGCTTTAAATACTATAAATTCTTTAAATACGTCAACAGTTTTATAGCGATTTTAAACCACCCCATTCCCCTTGTCAACAACTTGTCAAACTTTCAGTGACTTCCCGATATAAAAATGTCAACATTTAATAACCCTACCTCCTCCTCCCCCCCTATCTTTTTTATAGAAAAACAAAAAATAAAATGAAAAGAAAACAAAAATATTTAACATAGTAATAACAGTAAAAGTTTATTACAACAAAAGAAACTTCTTTAATTTATTAACATATTTTTACAAACAAGTCCAAATCTTGCATTGTTGCCTCTACATCTTCCCATGGAAATGCCTAATGTTTTTCAATTGTTTATATTGGCATAAGCTCTGATTGAATAACTTCTTGTGAAACCAAAATATTAGACAAGTCAACATTTTATTCTTCTAGCCATTCTACACTTGGCATCTCCCAATGAGCAATAATTGCAATGATCTCTTTTGGCAACGATATGCATCGGACTAATTCTTTGTTGTTGGAGTGCATTTAGTAATTGACTGAACCCAGAAACACAATTTTGATGCTGTTGAACATTCTTCTTTAATATGCTTATCGAAGCAACATAAACGTAACAGATTTTACAGATCTGTTCAAAAAATGACAACTAAAAAAATGTACAATATGCATAATGTGGTAGAGTTTTGGAAACTTTTGCCATTTGAGATTTATATTTATAGTATTTTTTTTATCTTTTATAGACTAATTGCAGAAAAGAGATGTAAATCTATGTAATTTTATATCAGAAACATTTGTTGCTTTAAGACCATGACTTATTTGACAGACTGGAAATGGTGGGGGAATAAATTTATCAGCAATAATTATAAAATACGAGCTTTTATCAGTTGGCAACAAGTAAAACTGCAACTAATTTTTTGTTAATAAGTTAAATCACTTGTTCTTACTTGGATTTGGAAATAAACTTGATCTTTAAATATTAAATTTTCAACTTCAGGGTTAGACTTTTCAGGCGCTTTATACTTCACCACTGTTAGAAAATTATCTATACTTACTTGCTTCCATACTTAAGACAAGGTTTTGCCAGCATATTTGAAGTTTAACTTTTCCATCTCTTTGTCAATTTTTCTACTTTGTGTGTCAAGTTAGCTCCCAAAATGTTCATGTGGCAAAATTAGTCCTGACAGTTCTCGACTAAAAGGAGTCATTCGTCTTTCTACTCGATTAAACACACTTACTAGGTGCATTTGTTGCTAGAAACATTGCATCAATGTTTCACTTTACAAAATGATGGACTAGAGCACCAATAACGATTTTATACCTTGGATTTTGATGAGATTCACCATCCACAGACATAAAAAGAATTAGTTTAATCAACTTTTTGCTTGGATCCTATGTAACAATATTAAATTCATACAATTCAAGTAGCTTTCATAATCCAATCCATGGCTATAAACTGATGATGAGCAATGCTTGCCTGATCTATTGTTTTTTAAGTTCGGCCTGAATATGTTATAGCTTCCAGTTACGTAAGCCGCCTTTTTGGATTTCAATACCAGCTTAAACTAATGGTATGAGTTAGTGTCTAGATGCTATTACTCAGTCGTGATCTGGCAATGCAACGCGGTATTCAACGTGCATTAAAAGCGAAACTTGCTTTTTCTATGGGGACTCTGGCTTAGTCATTTTGACTAATAAAGCATACTTCTTTATGTGCTAACAAAAAAGCCACTTCCTCTAGATGATTCAAAGTAGCTGTACAGTCAATGTGTTTTGAGTTTGAATCATTTTGTGCTCGAGTTAGCTTCACTGGTACAGTTGTTGCATTGCATCTGCCTTTTTCCGATAATAAACATTGCTTTGGCAAGAGCCTAATATAAATAGCACTTCTACTTATTTGAAATGCTTGAATCTTTATATATTCTGTCAATTCATCAAGTTTTTTAACACTGCGATTCATATGACTTTTGTCATATGAAGTGTCGTCTTGTTAATGTCGTCTTGTTAAATGCTCTGTGTTTGTTGTTTAACAACTTGTAACATTTTCACATTTGTGGCTGCTTTTCTAGAAAGGAAAGTCACACTCTTTGTAGAGTGGCCTGCCCATAAGGTCAATAATATTGCCTTATATTTCTG